AAATCCCTGCAGAGCCCTAATTGTAGAGCGGAACTGCTCATAGATTTCATGGCCATACTAAGAAGAGATAACCTCGAACCTGAGAGTATAACTCAAATTCGAGGCCTCCTAGAATGGAGCTTTTAGATGTTTTTGGAATTATTCTGTAGAGCCTGAAGAGTTAGTTGAGTCTAGCGGTTAATTCATCTTCTTACAAAAAATGAAAGACACCGAAACACAAGGGACAAGACAACTCGCGTTTTTCGCTTTTTTTTGTTATGTATTCATTCAAAGGAGAGTTTCTAAGGAAGGGATATATAGTTGAGCTGAACTCTTTCAGGGAATGAATACCTCTTCGATGAGAGCTTGGTTCACTTTCGTTTTCAACTGCTTGGCAAAATGCCAAGCAGTTGAAAACGGAAAGTGAACCAAGCTTTCAGGAAAGAAGGAAGGAAAGGAAGCATCTCTTTCTGCTTCACCGGCCGATCGTCCAAATCCTGTGCAACAGCGGCGGCTCGAATGATGGGCGCGCAACGAGGCGAGAAAGAGAAAGAGCCTACTGCTTGGCAAAATGCCAGAACCACAGGATAAGCGCGCTTCCATGATCCCGCCGCCAGTGCCATGGGCTATTCTATAATCTGCGCGGATACATGGAATGAAGGAAGGGAAACAAAGTTCTAACAGGTCAATGATATATATCATTCATTAGAATACATTTTGAGCAATCGAACAGTTAACCTAACAGCCGTATTACTTGGTCTGGTAAGGAAATAAAAGATGGTCAATTTTTCAGAGATGGATTTACCCTGTACTCAGCTCATCAATTTCTAAAGTAGGGTGCTTTTAATAGCGAAAAATAATTGCAGTACCAGCCCGGAATAGCCCCTCTTGTATGCATTGAATAGCAGCAAGCGGTAAACTGTTGGGACTTTACCACGTTTCACTAATTAACCACGCTAAACAGCTGCAAAACAAGCTGTTCGGTTCCTTATAAGAAATGCTATTAGAGGATTAGTTGACTATTCTCCGATTGGGACTTTGTTTTCTTCCAGCCGGTTTCCCGAATCTCGACGGCAGCATCGATTCTTATGAATGGTGCACAGTACAGGGCGTGAAAGGGGAAAGAGCCAACTGTTTGGCAAAATGCCAGGTCCACTGGCCAACCGTGCTTGTTCGATTGTCAGCAACAGCGGCTGGCGGGGGAGTGGGCTATCTCATAACGTGTGCGGTTACGTGATTAATACTGGCCGCTGAGGGATGGAGAATGGTCCGGTGAAGAAGCAAAAAAGTGGAAATCCAAACAAACGAAGTTCTGATGGAAATGCATTATAAGCCTGTAATATTTTTCGCTAAGAAGCCAGAGGCACTCAATTCACCATGATAAGCCGCTTACTCGTGCGTGTATCAAGTTAACAATATAATTCCTGCTCCGCTGATTGTAGCCTAGGAACGTTCAATGATTCCAGTGATTACAGTAAGCGTTTCCTCTACTTTGTGTGCCTGAATATCAGTACGTGGTATATCCATTGGATATGATCACCTTCCATTTCCATACACAACCAACTGTACGACAGAATGAAACGCCGTCCCATTCCCCATGGAAAATGCTATTGAATCATAGATAGATCATCTCTCGACCTGAGCTTCGTTTACCTTCCATTTGCACCTTTATACACTTCAATGATCGATTCTCTAACCCCCGACGTATGCGCACAGACTGCGAGACAGCTCATCGCTGTGGAGAACCCCGGGAATCGAGGAAGGATGGCAAACTGCCAGATCGACTGGCTAATTGATCTGGCAGTTTGCCAAGCGATTGGCTTCTTTCCTTCCTCTTCCTGTGTAGAGCGCCAATCGCGAAATCGCAGCCGCCTTATGAGAATCGAACTACCTTCTGCAGAACAAAAAGCTGGTTAGAGAAGAGAACGTAAAGTTTTCATCGAGCGGGGCGCCATGTGTCATTTGATAGTATTTCTTATGGGGAATTGAACTGTAAGTTTTCAGCCGTACGGTTTGGTCTGGTGAGTGAAGAAAAGGTAGTGAGGACACCAGGTTATGTCACGTGCTGATGTTTGGGGTCACAAAGCAAGAGTTAACGCTGTCTCGTTACCAAGTTGTTCATAAATTCCTCCATAAGCAATGACTGTGGTCCGGGATCGTCTACATCAAAATGGGCTTGATCAGCAGTATCTGAACCTTCGGGGTAGTTTTGGATTGCTCCGCTGCTTGAACCAATCTTCAGGTTCTATTCTAGTCATTTCCACAGAATTAGGTGAGAATCACTTCATTCTAGGATGATAGAATCGATTTGTAATAACATACAAAATTTAAAAAAACTCATTCATGTGTCCTATGCCTTCGCACTTGCGAAAAAACCGCGACTATCCAGAATGTATGCCAATTTGCTATGCAGTGTCATTAAAGGGCTAATTTCTGTAGATTTGGATGTATCATGCGGAATGGGTAGAAAAGAAATGATGATTTAACCTTAGGTGAGCTTTCAAATTGGCAGATGGTAGGAATGGAACACTGGTGACAGGGACCGAAAAACGACCTAGGTGACTGGGAAGTAACGCAACATAAATGCACCGACGAAGAAGGAACTGACTCCCAAGAAACTTACAACAGATAGCAGTGAAAAATATTGTTCAAAGCTAAGCGGAACAAAAAATGGAAACGAGGCAGGCACGATTGTATAGAATTGCTTCCTGAGAAGCGACAAAAATTACCAGCAGGAGGTAATAAGACTAGTAGATAAGTACCAAGTTCACTCAGATCCACCCGGTTTGGTAAAATTCGAACGTAATAACGCTTTTGCGGATAGAAAACGGTAGAGCTTTCAAACGAATAAAATTGAGCAAAGTGGAGCATACCATGGAAAGCGGCCGGTTGTTACCCATGGGCCGTGTCGTTTGTTTGGTGTTCAATCGATTCGGTCAAATGGCCAGGCAATAGAGAAAACAGTCTTCATCTTCTGTAAACTATCTAGTGGAAGACAGCTCAGTTTGGAGTCATTTCAGGTGAGGAGCACTACAGTGACCTCTCTATTTTCGGAATTTCCGAATTCATAAAGAGCATCACGATGAGTGACCACCTTACCGACACATCTTGAAATGCACCCTTGATTCGTTCCAAAATATTACCTTCCGACTATGCCAGGTGATTAGTCCACTTTACTTATTGAAGCCTTTTGTTCTCCGGGTTTTCTTGGAAGCAATCACAACAACTACTCATGGCTATGCTTCCCAAAAATTAAATATACTATCGAACATAGCTCTTTAAGCTCTACAAAATGTTGCTTTAAGAGACTTGGAAAAGCTTCATACTGAAAACCATAATTTTATGGCATACTACAATGTATGGAGAGATATTCTGTTTGAGTCCGAGAAGATAGCAGGGTAACCGATGTACTATCCTAGTCTCCAGCCAGTGCTTTGCTGAAAGCTCGTGGCGCACTTGATTACACAGGACTGTTTTCTCTGCAATATAGCCCTGAATATCAGTACCTGACATATGCTGGTAATTTGACCACCTTTAATCCCCTTCCCAAACCAGATTAAGTGGCTCTAATGTATTCATGCAGCCGTCCAGAGAGGGGTAGTCAACTTTTTGGCAATATGCCAGACCCACTAGCCAACGGTGCCTCAGATTCCCGGCGCCTTTCGTAGTCAGGCTGGAAACCTATTTCATAACCGAAAAGAGGAAGGTGTAAACGAAAACGGCACAAAGTGCTCAATTAGGGGTATGGAATCGAATCGTATACTTTACAATCCTGTAATTTAGTTGTAAGGTGGTAAAAGGAACTGGAAAGTGCCGCATTATTGGTTTCAAGATCATACAGCAAGGTGAAGACAGCTGTTACTAGGTTGTCCCTAAAACTCCTGCTCACCACTAACAGCAGTTCGAGACCTTTTACTGACACCAGCACTATCTTCTCGGGCTAAACCAAAACATCCTACCGGCTTGAGAGCCCGCCATAAAATCAAGCTATACCAGAATAGTTATGTTTAGAGTGTAATCTTTTTGAGCTTGATTAGCTGAGTTTAACCACAACTGAAGAAAAATAGCCCTGAATCAACTTGTAACCAGAACGGGGAACAGGAACTCGCTTTTTCATCGCATTATTCAGTTCGATGCTACCTTTTCCAAGGTTTACAACAAGGTACTATAAAGGTTTAAAAAGTAGGCGGCATGCCCTGGTGTATTGACCAGCTTCTCTTTCCTTATCAAACAACCATATGTATTTATATTGAGCAACCAAAGTAAAATATTTTATTCATCGAATTGATTTCATCAATCATATGATATTACAAGCGCTTATGTTCCACAAGCTTATTAGTTAGGTACACATAGTGCACTTATTTCTACCCCGCCCCTCATTTTGACCATCAAAAAAAAAGGCTCGGGCAGGGTTACGAGGTGGTGGGTGGGGCAAACACTGCTACTGTGTACTGTTGTGGCGAGTAGAAATAAGTAGTACTGGTTCGCCCAGTCAAACAATTGCTCTAAAACATTTGCGACATTTTCCTTTTAAGACAACGAATGTTCACGTTTTTGTATCGAAGGAATCACAATGAGCAAATAGTTAGTTCCATTATGAACTGGTAAGAAAATCTCATACCAATACGGAAAAGATTTTGTACGAAAAAAATTGGGTTAACACCTTTATCACCTAGAAAATAGGCACGAAATTAGTTACAAACAAAAAGGCAAATGTAAATAAAGAATTACAGTTCAGACCGAGATCAAAGCATAATTACATGACACGAAAATTCGGAGGATATGTCCAACATTTATAGGCATACATGAATCCAAGAGATTACATCGATTCGTAAATTAGTTAAATAACATTTACTAACAATAACGTAGCCGAACCTGTTATTCAGGTTTTTCGTATTGCCGTCGTTGTAATCCCTTGGATTTGGCCATAGCTACGCCTCAGACCGTAGGGTCAGTTAGCGAATGCCGAACCGTTTAGACCCCAGAAAATACTCATAGCTAAAGCTATGACAGCAATACCACCAGTTAAACCGACGAGTACGTAGGATTGCTTGTGTTCCAGTTTAACTAAATCGTGCTCACCAGAAAAGTAAATCATTTGGAGTTCAGTTAAAGGTGTTGCAACAGAGAACCACATCGTGTCCTGAAGTGGCGGACACTCTTCAGTGGCGTTTGGTAGGAGTATGTCGATCAGTTCCCATACCTTAATGAAGAAAGTCTCTGAGGGGGACAGACGAAAGAATAGGAATGAAAAATAACGTGGAATTAAGCCAGAATTTTCTTGCTGAAAGTGCTGACTGTGATTCGAGTCGAATTTGAGAAGGAAAAGGGAAGAGGGTGGTGGAAATGTAGTTGGGGGGTGCCAGCGCCCTTTTGTGCTCTGCGTCTCTGACACCATTCCGCACACTGCATAGAGACCGTGCTACGGCGCAGAGATGGTTTCATCCCCCGACTAAAAGCTAAGGGATGAGCTCCGGGGTGGGAGAGATGATTATATCGAGCAAAAAGCTGGGATGGGGTGAGAAATGAACATCCACATTGGTTCACCCACCCCGGAGCTCCTTCCCTAACTTTTAAAAGGGGAGGAGCTCCGGGATGGGTGAGATGATTAGATGGGGTGAGAATTGAAGAGACGCAGAGAACAAAAGGGTCTGGCACCCCTCAACTACATTTTCACCATGTGGGTACATGTACATCAGCTTAAGTACGAGGAATTCTTCAAAATTAATCAAATCTTTTCCAGTAGGGCAAATTTATATCCCCCGTTTGGGTGAAAATGTAGTTGGGGGGTGCCAGCGCCCTTCCGTCTCGTTGCTCTGCGTCTCTGACCATGGCGGCAGAGTATCCAGAGACCGCACTGAAGCGCGGATATGGCCTCTCAATAGTGATAGGGAACCTATTCTTTAGCAAGGGGAGGAGCTCCGGGGTGGGTGCGAAGTAAACGTTGTGCAATAACAAGAGAAAGTTGCAATAAAGTAGAAAAGAGTGGAATGGGTTAAAATTGAGTAGCTGTTCTATACATTTCAACTTTATGCACAACGTTTACTTCGCACCCACCCCGGAGCTCCTCCCCTTGCTAAAGAATAGGTTCCCTGACACTATTGAGAGGCCATATCCGCGCTCCAGCGTGGTCTCTGGATACTCTGCCGCCTTGGTCAGAGACGCAGAGCAACGAGACGGAAGGGCGCTGGCACCCTCCAACTACATTTTCACCCCCGTTTGAATTAATTGGTCTGGGTGTAACCAATACTAGCAAAATCTGCCATTTATCACCTTCTACACCATTTCACCTTAGAAAGCCAGAGACAGCAAGATCGAAAAAAAACTGATTGATAGTTGAGCATAATCGTACCGCACGAGGTGTGTAGTCCTGGAATTGAATACTGTAGCTGTACTGGTGTATGAGGAACATCTGCTGGCACTGTGATTCATCCAGGAAAGGTAGTCGTTTGTAGAGCACCACACTCATCGAGGCTGGCAGTGGAGCGGAGAGGTGAACTGGCCGCACTCCGGTATACATAAGAGCGGTTCTGAAATCAGTGCTGCTTGCTGCTGCAGAAGCTCAGTTCAGTAACTTCACCAAACGATCAACAATGAGCATTTGAAAAGTGTATTAACATGTACTTCTAAATATTTGACATTACAATCCCGGATGCGGACAAACCTCTGCAATGAGCACCCTTTTGCGTTATGAAAGGGTAAACGGAAAGAACAAGATCGATAGATCAGAGTAGCCAAAAAGATGTTGATAAACAAGCGGATCAAATATGAACGTACCTAGCCACGGTACCCCAATAGGGTAATGGGCATTGTCTTTCATTGTTTACCAACACTAAAAGTTTTTCAGTGCAATTTGAAGTACTGGCGATAAGGTCATCAAGAGCAGTCACGTTTGGAGGCGTTTCGATTTTCACCTGATCCAATGAAACAATCCAATGAGATACTGATTGCTGAAATAAAGTATATTAATGCCACAGTTGGAATCTGGTAGACTGATTTCTGTGAGTTCTGTTTGATTGTAAACTTTAGTACACATCAGTGTTGCGTCCGGCCCGAAATCACTCACCCTACTGGTGATATTACCGGTGAAATAAGTTGGTGTTCTAGCTATCATATAGACAAGTGCCGGGAACTGCTCAATTTCTGTTTCATTGAGGAACGGCAGCGGCTGAAAGGAACTTTTGGAATCCAGGAATCCATGTGTGACATACGTACACCACCTGATTACCTTTTTATACGTATAGTAGTGATATCCGATAATATCATGGCCGTGATAACCCCGATCTTCATTTATGTCACGAACCCATTGAGGTATCTGTATAAAATAAGAATAACGAAACAGGATAGAGACAGTTAATTGGAGCTATCCGATTCGGCGCTTCAAATCACATCTAGTAAGCATGTTA